ATATAATAAAATTGTAGAAATTAAACGCAGGACTCTGGTGATTACTTCGTCCCATCTAGAGCCATATATTGAATGAAGGTTTTATTATGGCTTCTTAAAAACTAATACTACGTACCCTTATGGAATCAAGGGATTTTGTGAACTAGCTTAAAGTACAGTTTCATTTATTTCAAAACTTGACGTATTCATTAACTGCATAAATTGAAACACGAAGTCGAAGTTACAGGTTGTGTAAAATTGAAATTTTATCATAATTATATTCTGGTTGTCATAGACAACAATCTTATATCAATTACCTGTATTGGCCTGTATATGGTGATTTTGGCAACTTTTTCCATCGACTTGAACTTGCTTTTAATTACTTTAAATTTTATATTAGTAAATTACTATAACTAATATGAGCCACTTGTAAATTACTTGGAGAGTTACTCATAAAAATCTACTTTGTTTTCATTAACTAGTAAAAAGTAAGAGCAACTGATTCAGAATTCTGTTTTCGCCGCACAGCGTACGACATTAGGGTACTACTGCTAGGTACGTACAAGCGAATTCTTCCTGTTCCTTTGTTTATATAGGGCAATATTGCCCTGCTTTTGGGATAACATACAACGCTACACATCCTGTCGGTGAAGCGAAAGGGTGTCTCGTGCCTTCGAACGGTCTCTCATTCTAGGCATTAGTCGCGCTAGGTCAAAAACGCGAGGAGGAGTGCTTTCGTTGAATGTAATGTTCTTATCAGACCGGGATCCAGGATAATTTCGATGTACTTTACCACTTGAATCACTTTTTTCCTTTCTACCAGATAGATTGCCTCACTTTTCATAAGCGCCACCTGTAGAGAATGACCCTTCAGACAGAGCGAACTGCTGTAATCAATGTCACATCACCGGCGTAGGCAGTGCTCTCCATGTTGTCAAGCGTATCCAGGATCTTAACCACCTCGTGACAGGTCTATTCCATAAGATTAGTCTAAGAACCAGTGTCTACTAGAACTTCTTCTCACACTCCCAGCCTGCAGACTACAACACACATACTATGTTATCTTAAGGCACAGTACGTACGTTGTGCCGCTATCCATATTTCCTTAGCGGCACATAATCGGTAGAACTGTACGTTATAAGCCAAATCTAGCACTATAGTAGGGTACTTCCTTGCAATCTTCTCACAGCGATAGCTACGATATGAAAGGGGGCCGTTTGCCCATTACGAGCTGTCAGCAAGAACGAGCAGGTGATTTACTTTTAACATGATCTGAAATCAACCGACAAGTGTAAGACAATTATATACAGTACTATACATGAACCCACTCTTATTATAGGGGATTAGAAAGTTTTGAAAACACAGTAAAATCGGTTGTCTTATTTATCAGTGTCAGCACAATGAACCCTCTGGTGATACTCATATAGCATTCGAACTTTTCAAATATCCTGTTGGGTGCATCGATGTCTTTGATGAACCAACACTATATCTCTGGGTATAAGTCAACCATTGTAAAGTCGGACCGTTGTAGTAGAATCAATCCATGTACTGCCCAAAAATTGTTCGGCATGTGTGTTTATCAAATGCTGGATAAGTGACTGAACTATAAACTGGTAAAAGTGTTCTCATGAAAGGTAAAGATCGGTCGTGTCAATAACAGAAAAAAAAAAACGCTGCTGCAGGAAATGCCCTCGTCATAATGAATCTACATGTAAATATTGTATAGTACGTTGAGCCGGCTTTGGCAAGTCGCTAGTGGCTACGGCTTAACGTGACGAGAAGATGGCCAATAGGGAAGCATGTGTCGCAGTTGGCTATCATAGATTCGTATCTATGTGATTTTAGCCAAATCATATTAATTAATTATTAAATTATAATTATAAAAAAAAAAACAAATCATGGTAACGAAATCAGTTACCAAACGAACCGATAACTTAATGGCAGTTACCTTTAAAACTTGTCCAAGTTCAAAGGCCGCCACATTAAATTCTATGTGTAGAAAATGAAAACATGACTATATACTTAATTATAAAAGCTTACATTGCACATAAGAAAATAATGATTTGCCTATTAGACAAGTAAACCTATGAATCACTAATTATTCAACTAAGGATCATTTTAGATCGGATTGATTTCGTTGTCTTTCTATAACTTTTGTCCTCCGTATGATAATCAGTTGCATGATGAAGCGAAGGTCTCTTGGTAAGAGCAAATAACGAATGGTCCTAAGAATGAACGCCACCATTCTGAACATGGACGCCATGACACAAGCGTGGATGAGCCAAAGATGACTCAGCAGCTAGATCGACCAAGAACTATCTAAAAGTTAACATTTACTACTACGTCGGAGGTAAGTAGTGCTCAAAACTAAGCTACACACTATATATGCAAAAAAGTTAAGAACGTCATAATCTCTATATGATCAGGGTCACACCATCCGGTACCGGCTTCACTTAGACAATTTTCAATGTTATTAAAATATTTGTTTATGCCATGCGAACAAATGGAAATTAACTGTTTCAATTACTGCTGCTAATAAATAGGAGGAAAGAGAACGGATGAAAGCTAAAGGAACTGCCAAAAAGTGCAGTATACACTGTGTGTACTATACCCGAAGACTTGGGAAAGATTGCTACAGCTGTTTCCTTATAATCAGCTCTACAGCTGAAATGTACTGAACTTTAACAATCAAATCTAAGTGTATGGGTGATAGGAAGGAAAGGTAGAATGGAAGGAGCAATTGGGAGTTAGATACGTTAATTAAGAGTTTTGTCGGTATCTACTGGACTCGAAAGAAGGAGGAACTGTAAAAGAAAGAAAGGAACTGGCGTTGCTTAGAACTGTCAGCTTTAAAGAAGTTACCGAGTCAAGGGTTCAAAACGAGGACTGAGGAGGTCTCCAACGTTTCACGTTAGTTATTGCCCAGCACCAGCTGGGGACCCCTTAACCGCCTTCGTTTTAGTGTAAAAAAAAGCCTTTACATAGTACTTGAGTAACATAACACTTGAGCAAAGGAGACGATACATTTTACGGATAAAGTGTATCTTTGCTGCACATCAAGCGCAGCTCACATATCGTTAAGTTGTGGGTGTCATCACGAATTCCGGAATTTTCTGGAGCTTTCAGCGGGGACTATGGGAACAAGGCCATGTAATGATTAGCAAGAGTAGGTTAGAAAATGCCAACTGCCTCCTTAGAGCTAATGGCTATAAGCAGTCGCTCGAAGGTCTCCGTAGTAGAATATTGCGACCTTACCTCTATAAAGGGGTGTATAACTAGATCAAACGAACTTTCCAATAGAATCTCGTATTTTACTCTGTTAAACTCTTCTTTGATCACAATAGATGCGTTGGAAGGATTTGCGACTACCTGAATGTACGGCTTATTCCTGAGGCACCTCTAGTAATTGCGTGCAGGTTGCGCTGGGTTCCGCGCCAATATTGAATGAGATCAAATAGATTTATTCTTGTAAAAAAAGCTCGATTTATTATAGGACATGATTAAGACATCATGTCCTAATATCTTCCTAAATAAAGCCGACAAATGAAGCGGTGGTTCTTCACGTTACCTTTGCCACC